TGTGTATGTATGTATGTATGTATATGTGTGTGTATGTATGTATGTATGTATATGTGTGTATATATATGTGTATGTATGTGTATATATATATGTATGTGTGTGTGTGTATATGTATATAAATTCACTCCCCCCACCTACAATCCCTGCCAGTACGAGACTCGAACCCACAACCTTTGGGTTATGAGTCTGACTCTCTAACCATTAGGCCACGATATATGTGTATGTATGTGTGTGTGGTTGTACATACACATATATGTAGTTGTTTTTTTTGGTGTTTGGCTTAGTGTTATGTTAGGATCCTTATTATACTCTTATACCTTTTGTTCTTTAATATTTTGAATAGTTTTTAGCTTTATTTTTTGTTTTTCATTTAAATGTTAAGTTTTGAAATTTTGTTGTATGCATTTGTCATTTTTATTTAATTTCTTTATTTGAAAAATGTGTATAGGTAGTATTTATAAAGTTTTTGCTTTTAGTTTTGGATCTGTTTTTAGTTGTTTTAATACTACAATTGATTGCTTCTGTTGTCCTCATTTGTAAGTCGCTTTGGATAAAAGCGTCTGCTAAATGACTAAATAAATAAAATAAATAAAAAACATAGAGCATATGAACCAAGTCACATTTATGGAGTCTATTTACGGCAACCTGCTTCCAGTCATGCTTGTTTCCCAAAAGCTAAAAACAACCGAGCCTAGTGGAGAACCTAATAGTGGGAGAAGGATTTGATTTCACACGTAGTCTGTTGAAAACAGACTTGGCTTGGTTGTGTGGACAGATGTGTGTGTGAACCCACTGCACCCAACCAATTCAACCAGTGTTTACCATATGTTATCCACCTCCTGCTAATGGCAGTAAGCATGATATGACTGGCGAACACACACAGATAAACCTGCCATTTTTCTAGCTTTATTTGTGCATGGAAACAAAAATTTGCCTTTGAAAGTATCATATGCTTACACAAGCTACACCAGTCAGAGCCCAGGTATAGTTAACATGTCTTCCCCCTCCCGCCAGCCCAGAAGACAGCTCAACATGTTCCAATTTATCCAGAGACTGTGGAATTTAGGTGCTGTAGCTTAAGAGACTGTGTTATATTAACATTAAGGCCAAACATACAAAAGTAGATAGACTCATAGGAATGTTTGAAATGCTACTGTCATAAAACGTTGCACCATTATATAGCAATAAAATTTATTTAAAAATTAAATAAATAGATTAATAAAAAACATTAAGACTATGTAAAATGTTCATGGTGTGCCATTTGATCTCTTTCTGCATGTGACAGTGTCGTTGCTAAAGTGAAATGTTTCTATGGTGATGCACCATCTCATGGAAAGTGCAAGAGGGGAGTTTGCCATCATAGTTTATTCATGTATTTTTCAAACGTATTTAATGTACTTTTCAAGTTCAGAACCTTGGTGAATATATATTTATTTCCTTGTGACAAAGCAAGCCATTATAAGCACAATGGTTCATTCAGATGAAGCTCTGTACTGTTGAATTTAATATAATTGATAAGTGAAATCAAAGCATCAAGAACTGAAAAATCTGACATGCACAAAGTAAACTCACTAATAAGGAACTCCTGCAGAGTTCCCTGCCCATAAAATTGCTTGTTATCATTCTGGTAGGTCACATGATTC